TGATGTGTCCTCTGTTTCTGTATGTTAAAACTGCAATCCTAAACAATCACAGTTCTGACCCACATGAAAGGCTATTGCAGTTATGGTTTACCTTAGCCCTGTTTGAAAACTTAAAAATTTTAGTTCATTTTCGCACTTTCATCTGTTTCTTCTCATGTTGTTTTATTTGGTTGATGGTGGCTACAAGAGGAATGCAGAATGAATGCTTTTAATTCTCTTTGAAAGTTGTCATCTGCATAGACCTGGATCCTAAACAGTGATGGTGTTCCCAGAAACAACCAGTTCAAACACCAGAGAGTAGTCCATAGAAAAATCCAACACCAGTCATGGCTATAATGATCCAGTGGCGTTTAAAAAGTAAGATGTTAGGTTCGATTCTCAGTGGGAATTTTATCACTCACTGAAGCACAAATACGTCCAGCTAAGAATTTTCATATACAGCGGAACAAGCAGTCTGGATTTCATCATTAGCCACCATCAGTCAAGTAACACAGTGGTGACCTAAAGGTGTCGTTGAAGCATTTGTGCGAGGAACCGAAATTTCAACAGGAGCCAAGTCTTCCGCTTCAGTAGAATCAATCAGCTGGTAATTCAATTAGCAGTCTCAATAAATAATATTTTGTTTTGTCTGACACTTGAAAAGAAACTTCAGTGAAATGGAACAAACAAAGTGAGCAACAAGAATAAAAAGAAAACAGTACTTCTATCCTTAGTTCGTGTGAACTCAACGTATGCTTAACTTTATTACTTATTTTTTTAAATCCCCATCTGAACCTTTATTCTGATTTTGTTTTAAAAAACAATGAAATTACAAACACTTCGTCTGTCTTCTTTGTTTTACTTTCTAACGAAAGACCCCGAAGAAAAAAAATGCAAGTTTACGATTCACCTTTCAACTATTTTGACGGCTCATCAGATTGACTTCAGAAAAACTTAACTCCTTGAGAATTCTTGAGTGCAATTAAAAATAGATTTTGTTTTCTTTCTTCAAAAAACATTCTTTTATTGTTTCGCATAAACTGTAGTGTTAATTCAAGTCAGACAATGTTTTATTTTGATGATATATATATTTTTATTTCAGTAAGTGGAATGCATGTAGACAACTTGAAACTTTCAATAATCAGCCTTATTCTTTATTCTACAACAGAGAAAAGAATAAGCGAAAACAGTCTCTTGGCACAATGAGACAGTCACTTTTTCTTCATATACAATAAACATAAATGAAAGAGTGTTTTATTTTACTGTGAAATGATTTGTATTAATTGATTTATTAGATAAAACCACAATGTCTAAAAATATGCTTGATGAAATCAGCAATGAAAATAGTATAAATATTATAGATAGATGTATGTAAGCTAAAAATAGGTGCTTAGACATGCAGTGACCACTGAAGCACTTTTTTTTATTCTATACTAAGACTGCTGTGCAATATTCACTTTACACTCCTGTCAAAAGTGCACTTATTGAACTATGAAACAAGTTACACCTTTTATCATGTTCACTCCTACTTCAGTGAGCATGTCTGATTAGAGTTCTGTCTGGAGGCATTATAAATATTTCAGGGTTCATCAGCTTCATAAGATTTACAGGTAGATATTATGGATAAACCACGAAAACAATGTAAGAGGTTAATGTCTACTAATTAAGTCATTTGGACTGATGTCAAAATGAGCACGTTGCGATTTGACCGCTGTGTGAGAATCTGAAAGCTCCTGAGTTCTACATCTTCCTACTAACTGCCATAATGCAGCCAATCGTTAATGTGCAAGAAATCAAGCTTCAACTGTCAGGATTGTAGAGACTAGTATCAAGTTAAAGTGGACTTCATGGTTTTATAAAGCAGATCACCAGAAGCTGAAAATGATAGGTCAATGGACTCTAGTAGGACCTATGAATAGTAATGTGCTTACCTCGTTATCTAATGATCTTGAGTTTACCTTCTTGAGAGATAGTTGCAGCATGCTGCTCAAAATTATAAACTGTAGTCAATGCAACTAAAGCCTGTTTAAATCTCTGAGTTACAAAGTTTTTCTGTCCACCAAAATGCATCACATTTTTGCTGCGTTTCATATTGTTTCAACCATCCACTTACTATCATGAATCGCAACAAACAATAAAGCATATTTTCAAATAGGTTTCAATCTAGTTCTAGGAATTTTTATGAAGGAAATGGTGGGAATGCATTGTGGAGGTAAGAAGCATGCCTCGAATGAAACAACATATCTTCGAATGATGTGTTATCGATCACCATACTACTTGAAAACCTTGCAAAAAGGGTAAATGCCGTCTCAATAAAACATGCTGAAGATGTTGTATCATGATCCCACACACTTTTCAGAAGAAAGTCATTATTACTGTTATCACCACTGTAAATATTATCATATGGAGATAGTTTTGATAACAAGGCAATTACTCCTTGCATAAAAACTTCTGGTAAAATAATGGTGGACAATATTTCACTTAATATTGTTCTTTTTAAGCACACTACAATATTCCATGACGTTTTTTTATCATTCGTTTCCATAATCGTACATAAGGTGTTTAAAAATGCATGTGACTACACAAGGGCTGAGTCGAATAGTTAGTGTAATGTGTGATGTATGAAACCTAATAAATTATATTTCATGGCGAAGTAGGTAATTCAGAGATACGATACCCATTGGTGAAGATATTTGCATTTGGCTCACTCATATGTACACCAAGCCAACGGCTAAAATACACATAGTACTTTATACTACTTATTAGTAGCTGAAAAATCACCAAAACATTTTGGTGCTATAACAACAGCTTTTGCCAGATTCCAACTATTTCAAATTTTTATTCACTACCTCGTATATATATATATATATATATATATATATTAGAATTTGTTAATAAGTTATTTCAGACCGTCATTCGATTTTAATGGGGGCTATATTAATTATTGCAACGAAACACCAATGACACTGACATATCTCCAAATTGAGGATATGAAGTTTGTTCAAAGTTCAATTGCTTCCAAAGCACCGAAATTTCATACATTTATTCCCCTTAATGAATTTGAAGAAACAAAGAAAGAGCAACAGTTTTCGCAGAACAAAGTGGTACAATCATTTATTTCGTTGGCTTCTCATCAGCTGTTTACAGTATATGTTTACAGAAACAATTCTAACATACTTGCACAGAGTCCATTTTTAAACAAAAATCAATCAATATATGCATACAGTAATTATACATAAATATATATACATATACATATAGGTGAAAGAGTTCAATTCCGCACAAGTTTGCTGAAGTAATCTCCATCAAGCGCCCGAAACCTGATTTATGCGTTGAGAAAGCAACAGTTATCAGTCTTTCTTTGCCCTGGTAACTGGATATTTTCTCTTTTCTTTCATCTGTTTACGTAATGTTGACAGTTTTCATTGTGTAGGATCATTATTGTTCGGAATAGTGTTCAATATTATATATATGTATATGTATATGCATATATATTTATGTATAATTACTGTATGCATATATTGATTGATTTTTGTTTAAAAATGGACTCTGTGCAAGTATGTTAGAATTGTTTCTGTAAACATATACTGTAAACAGCTGATGAGAAGCCAACGAAATAAATGATTGTACCACTTTGTTCTGCGAAAACTGTTGCTCTTTCTTTATTTCTTCAAATTCATTAAGGGGAATAAATGTATGAAATTTCGGTGCTTTGGAAGCAATTGAACTTTGAACAAACTTGATATCCTCAATTTAGAGATGTGTCAGTGTCATTGGTGTTTCATTGCAATAATTAATATAGCCCCCATTAAAATCGAATGACGGTCTGAAATAACTTATTAACAAATTCTAATATATATATATATACATACGAGGTAGTGGATAAAAATTTGAAATAGTTGGAATGTGGCCAAAATGTAGGTTTTACACGCATGCTTAAATTTTGTGAAATATTCACAATTAGTGAATGTGACTGCAGTGGTGTGGTCTGTCTCAGCTGAAGCTGGTATTGATTATTTTTTCTAGAATGACAGTGAAAACATCATAATCTGACTTCTGTCGTTATCAAGGTAGCGCCAACTCTAACCACTTCTACTAATGAACAATCGTTCCACACTCCATATACTAGTCCCCATTTGCCATGATTATTTATTTAGACTTCAGACCATATGCCCTTTCGTTACCAAGGAAAAGAGAGGCTTATATTTTTTATTTCACAGGTTTCAGTGATTCAGTCACTTTCTAATAGATGAGGAAATCTGCGCTGAAATTGTTCAAAATCCCTACAAACACAAAATGTCTGAACTTATTTTGTCTGTTATATTTAAGATAATTGGGTAAAGATCATAGAAGTATCATTTTCGAAACAATATATAATTCAACTGGCAACGCTTACTGAAATACCAGTCAACTTCTTATGCATTTCAGCGTAGCTAGCCAGAAATCCAAGGTTATAGATATGCAATATTCTAATGTATTCCTTATTCAAGAATACCTCTAAGACGAAGTTTTTTTCCTTCACGTTCCTCAGTGGAACATAGGGCTTCAAGCTAGTAGCTTGAAGTTTCTATAGCAGTGTTTGTTTCACAAGATGGGGTTGCTGGCCAGTCTCATGCCCAACCTTTCCACTTTACCAGCCTTATTTCTGGCTTAGCAAGGTAAAGGAGTGTGTCGGCCGGGGATCGAACCCCGGACCATGTGCACGGTCGGCGAGCGTCCTAACTGCTATGCCACCGACGCAAGACGAAATTACTCACTAGTGAATTGTAAGGCCTCATTACTAGCATTTAATACTTTCAAGATGAGGTTAATTAGATCAGTGCAGAGGAAAAACTCACAAGGGACGGTTAAGAATGATTTTATTTGAAATATCCGAACCAAATGATTCTGTTGCAAAAAACATACACTTAAACATCTTACTTTTCTTGTTTTTCAACAGAATAACTTATCTCTGAATACTGAATGGCATATATATGCTTCGTTCTATGACGGAAACTGTTTACCTAATATGGATTTATACAATGATGTTGCTATATGAAGTCAATTCCTATCAATCACAAGATGTCGACGATGACTATGTCGAATTAACACAATTAATAAATAATGAGAATCAAATTCGTCTACGATGTGATGCAAAAAGTCAAGATTCAATTGAAAGTTTAATTCTTCTTAGCTGCCCGTTAAGTAAAACTGGAGTATGCAGAGAAAACTGTATAAATCCATGTCCAGTGAATGAATGTGAGTTTCGTTTTTAAGTATTTTAAATAAATACCTCTACTTTCTATAGTTTTTGGTTTGTAAGGATTAGTTATGTTTTACGAGTTGATCACGGATTGATCATCAGTTAGAGAACCATTGAAAACCAGGGAGTACTGGACAGCTGCTGTTTCATCCTAGTTTGGGAATCATCGGCAGTACGCACCCACTGGGATTCGAACCAGGGACCTGCCGGTTACAAGGCAAGCTCGTATACCGTTCAGCCACTGGGACCCGATTCAATGGCTCGTGAATTCTAACTTCTACCAATTCGTGATTTAGCGCGACACCAACCATTGTCGTTGGTGGGACATCCATCCACACATGTGACATCTAATCGGACCTCACTGGTCACGACTTCTCACTAGAACTCAGAAAACTCCAACCTGTAGCAAGTCACTAACTTCACTGAAAATTGCGATTCGATTCTGTAATTAAATTTATAATCACTAAGCTATAAAGACTATGAGACACCCCTTGTAAGACTAAATTGAAAATACGAATTTGAATCTTAATTTATAATCATTAAGTCTAATTTTTAATAACAGTTAGAAATTTTCCGAATTTTTCCGGCAGGAAGCCTTGGACCTGCCGACTGCCTCCAACCATCTAATAAAAACATTTATAAAAGTTTGAGAAAATGATAACTAGTCATGGCTGGTGGAATCCATCAAGTCAGATGAGATGGTAGTTGCTCACCGATGAAACTAGCTGTCTGCGGTACCATGTTAACATAAGTTTGAGTTCATGACTAGCTGAATCTGAAGGTACCGGCTTCGATATCTGGTAGATGAGCAGTGTTAAAAAAATTCCAAGAGTGAGATAAAACAGGCAGTCAATACCTTCTCTAACTGATGTTGGCTAGATATGAATATATTGTGTCCCTTAAACTTTATCTTAGCATAAATACTGACTCAAAGATATTACGAGCGATAGTGCAATTCACTGAAAATGAAACATGCGTCCCCCAGTGGCTTAATGGTATACGAGCTCGCCTTGTAACCGGAAGGTCCTGGGTTCGAATCCCGGTGGGTGCGTACTGCTGAAGAGTCCCAAACTAGGACGAAACAGCTGTTCAGTACTCCCAGGTTTTCCAATGGTTCTCTAACTAATGTCAGCTCATGATGAAGTCCTGAAACCAATCAAATCCCTACAAACCAACACTTGAAACATGCGGAACTTTGAAGTCATCTCAAGTTCAGTGGGACAGGCTTGATTGCAACAGTCAGTTAATCGGATTTACGTATTTGCATGAACTTCAGTTCTCTTGAGGTTGACAATGTGCCTATCTGTATAATCTAAATAAATTCTTGATAAAAGGAATATGCTAAGGCTGTACTTCAGCAGTGTCTCTTATGAACGTTTTAGTATCTTAATAGCATGTCACTCATTAAGACTTGGTTACACAAATATTGTGGAAGTTACCATTGGCAAGTTGGTATATCAAGGATGTCCAGTTGCACACCAGAATAATTAAATAGTCTCTACAAATAACTTGAGCAACAAGCTTCAATATTAAACTGGTTCTAGAAGTTTATTGTGAAACCGAAGATTTATTTAGCTTGTGCTTTTATAGCACTGCATTTTATAAGAATAATTAAACGGTATTCAAATAATAAATAAAACCTCAGTTTGTGTTTGTTGACTTCCAGAGTTGTGGCTTATTCTTGTTTTGCTATTCTTTTGTTCTTCACATTGTAAACAAAAAAAAGCATCTGCAATCTGCAATGAAGCAGTGACACTTGCTATTCCTAAATGCATTTATCGATCTATGTCAAACAATCATATTCAAATAGAATATGTGATACAGTTGAATGCTATTAATGAGAAAGGAATGTGGTGGTGTACATTTCGTGGGAAACGTTCTAATTCTGTTGAATTGGACTCACACACTCCTGAAGAAAGAAAAACGGTGGCTACAAGCAATGGAAATATCTATTCGAATAATCTAGAAATAAATAACAAATATGAAAATACGATGGATGGCATCACGTACTTTGGTAAGTATTTATTCACCTGTTTATTTGTTAATTAGACCATTTCTTATTATTATCTTTAATCGTACATTCCTTAACGTGCCGTGCTGTATATACGCATTGTGTACCGGAAGTAGCAATATCTAACAGTTTAAACTAGACCGATTTAGTCATAAAAGTAGCCGACAAATACTTTTACCGTCGAGAATAACTTAGGTGCTACTACAACAATTACTGCATGACTTAAGGGCTTACAGTTTGAAATCAACACCAATTCATGTCATCCTAATAAGAATTATGTATATATTTATAACTTATTTCACTAAAAATACATTTGAATTGGTTGATGTTCTTGATGATAGTAATATTAATATTATGAACAAGAATATGTACTCTTTTGATGTAAACTCGTTATTCACTAATGTGCCTTTGATCAAAACAGTTGACATTTTGTGTGATTATATTTCCACAAACAATTTTTTCATCCCGTTCCCTATATCTTACTTAAAAGATTTATTACTTCTATGTACTAACAATGTTAGGTTTACATTTGAAGGCGATTGTTTCCGCCAAGTTGATGGTGTTGCTATGGGCAGTCCGTTAGGGCCCCTTTTAGCAGATATTTATATGTCGTACATTGAGAATTTATCGGAAGATTTAATCGAAAATGTGCCACTTTATAGAAGGTATGTAGATGATATCGTAGTCATCAGTGATAAGCCTTGTTCTGCCACCTCAATTTTAAATCGAATGAATGAAGTTCAGAATAGCATATCACTTACATCTGTAGAAGAGGAAGATAATTGTTTATCTTTCCTAGACATATTGCTTAGTCGACGGCTTGATGGGTCAATAAAAAGATCTATTTATAGAAAACCTACCTGGACAGGACAGTATCTTAATTACCACAGTTTCTGCCCTATTCGGTACAAAAGAGGCTTAGTAAGGTGCCTCTTCAGTAGAATCCGACGAATATGCACTGAAGACACGCTTGATGAAGAAGAAAGAATATTGACACAAACTCTGGTTGATAACAATTATCCAGAAAAGTTCATCAGGAGATATAAAGTAGTCAGAACACCAAGACCCACTCTCCAACTCGCCCCTAAGAAAGACGTGTACATCAAGCTACCCTATATGGGACATCAAAGCAGCTTGATAACTAGACAAAGGCTGAACGCTGCTGTTAAAAAGACTTTTTATGCAGCTAATATCATAATATTAGAGAATGTAAAGCCATTATATCTATCTAAGCCCTTCGAACATGCGAAAAATGACGTCACATCCCACTGTATTTACCAATTTGAATGTACGTGTGGACACACATACATAGGGAGGACTCATCGATCTCTGCAAGTAAGGGCTTCAGAGCATATTCCAAAATGGCTCCAGAAACAAATGGAATCATCAGAACCTATTAACGGTGAGAACAGGAGACCTAGCTCTTCTATTGCGAAACATATTATAGAGACAGGTCATAAAATTGATGTTAACAGATCTTTTAAACCTATCTATAAAACGTGTTTGGGGCGTATCCTAAAGTTTGTAGAAGCCCTAGCAATTAGAAAGTTCAAGCCACCTTTATGCGTTCAAAAACAATTTGTCATCACATTAAACCTTCCTTGGTAAATTTTGTTTTGATACCATAGCAGATGTACTATTACCTCTGCTATTTGGTTTAGTGGTCTTCATTTTTATTTTTTGACCTTGAATATGTCCTTTTAACTTGACCTAAGTCTATTTTTCTCACCTCTTACCTCTTTATTAATTTTTATATATATATTCCTATGACAAGTCCGTGTGTGATCAGATTGTTCGAAATGTGTTGCGCAAATACATTACACGATTCAGACAAATTACGTCTTCTTATTGCTTTATCTAAATTCATAAAGGGAACTAATTGTTTTAAATTTTTAAATGAAGCTATTAATTCCTGTGACCGTTGCAGAATTGATGATAGTAATATAGAAATCAAGTCTGCATTAATTCTTTCTTCTGACCTATCCTGGTCTTCTCCTGTCTGAAGTTGTACATTAAGAAGTTGAGGCATAACTCAGCACCTTCTCTTACGGTTTTTTAACTCTTGCATCTTTACTATTCTTCTTTATTGTTCACCCTCATTCTTTCCTGGATTGCTTGAAAAAGACTGTGTCATAGTTTGTGGAACTCTGAAGACTGTCAGTAGGGCGGTTGGTATTCCATTGAGTCATATCTTTGACACCATCAATTATTTTCACTTGATTTCATGCAGCAAATTTGCTAAAGGAACTGTGTCATACTGTGAGCATCCACTTTACCCTCAACTTTTACGTTGTGTATCCTCAGGGAAAACAAGATATCTTTGAAGAAGACTTTATGCACGTACGTCTAATTATAAAAATTCCACTGTGACATATTTGGCACAGTGATGGAAATAGTGTCAGAGTCGAACTAATTAACCTTCTTTGCACTAGTAAATAAATCATTTTGTCCATCCTTATTCCACTAAGCTTTATTGTTATTGTTCCTCTTATATTTGTAATCCTCGTAATTTTTGTTTTTATTTGTTTATTTTCCCATAAGTGTAAACATCATTTAAGCTGTGTTATAACTGTTAATTTTGTATTTCCCCTCACTATACTAGATCAACAGAACATTGAATTCAATAATCTGTAACATGCTAAGATTTCCAAACTGAATCGAGAGCACAGTTTGAAACAAACTGTTATTATTTTTATTATATTTATTATTCTCATTTTGTACTTCGAATACTTTTGACTTTAAATGTGGACATATTCCTCTGGTTAATTTTGTTTTAATTTTACTCATATTTTGAGTGAATCAGGTGCAACATTGTGACAAATGCTGAGAATTCCATTCCGTATAATAAGTTCTGTTTTTGGAATAAAGTAGATTAGTATTATTATTATAATTCGAAAAGTAGTTTTTCCTACTTTGTTAATAAATCAGAATTTAGTGGTGTATTAAGTCTTTAGATTCTTTCAGTTCAATAACACTGGATGTGTTTCGGATTGCTATAAATCGGTAAGTTCTAACTTGAATGCATCTGCTCCCACCCCCCTACTCCGAAATACAACAAAACAAATCATTAAAATTTATCAAAAGACGCTAAAACCCATGAAGAATCGTAAATTTTGATGAAATATCGACCCAGTAGCTTTCAGTTTTCACTAATTCTTTAAGTCATTTCGATTTGATTGGTTTAACAGTGTAAAACTTTACACAAAATACACCATTCCAAGTTGCCATACTTATTAAAAGCACACAAAACGAGTGTGACGAAACTGCGGTGGAAGAAAATGTAAGGAAGTGAGAGGGAGGGAGTGAAAGAGGTTATCTGATCTAGGTTGGAAGACCTTTAGAATCTAGTACACAAAATGAATGCATACTTTGGGTACTGAGAACAGTTTGGAGTCTTTTCAGAAGTATTCCCAAACCATTCACTTTAGACATCCTGGTGACTCTAGCCACACAGCCTATACATCCCTCCGGGTGGTCAAATTAACCGTCAGTCATTTCATGGGTCGATGGTTTTGTCTAAGGACTCCTGATTCCTTTCCAATCCAGTCCTACTTTAGTCAACATTGCTCGTTTAGAAAGGCGATGGTGTGGCCTGAGTAGGACATATCCAAATCATCTGAATAATTACATTTCTGATAAACCATTATCTGACATTTAAATCTTATCTGACGCTCTTATGCAAACGTACCTATCCATCTAATGTGTGTAATTGAACCTCTAATCTTTAAGCAATAATTTTGTATAGTACAAAAGTAGAATAAAGAAAATAGTTGCGTGGCACATTACCTTGGAAGAAGTAAAAGCTTCGTAAATCTATCATCTAAATATTCCATTCGGTTTTTTGTCTTTTTTCGTTATTGCAGATATCTCACCCAACTTAATACAACTGATCATTGGACTTGTTGGTGTCTCGGTTGCATTCAATATTTTCTTTTTCATTCGATGTTATGCTGTGAACAACTATTTGAGTAAGTTGATGACAAACGTTTCTCTTTGTGTTGATAGTTTGAGGTAAAAATACGCATTGATTGTAATTAGGTGAATCAAGGATTTTTAAGAAATTTGAAAATTGGTCGGTGGATCGTACGGGACTATTAATGATATATTGGGTGATGACTCAAAGTGAAATGAAAATCTAAGTAGTAGCAGTATTCAAACCAGCGGTGATTGCAGTGTAATGATGATTTCGCTGGGAGTCGAGACTCTTAGCTTAACTGGTAGGGGGCCAGACTATTAATTAGGAGGCCACTGGTTCGAAGGCTACTGCAATCTATATTACAATTTCCCAGTGTATCACCACCCGGTAGACCGATTTGAAAAATGCTGAATGTTGCTGAGGTGCATCGCTGATTCATAGATAGAATGCTTGCACACCATGCGCGTAACCGGGGTTCTCCGCACCCCACCCGCTGACACTTTCCTCTGCCTCATTTAGCTGGTATTAAGCACGGTAAAGAGGAAAGGTTGGGCCTAAGGCTGACGACCCCACCCTGTAAAAAAACGAATAAAACCACTGCTACTGAAACCCCACGGATTAAAGTTTGAAGCCCTATATCTCGCTTGGATTTCACAGGAATAAAAAAATGTTACTAAGACATTCAGTCAGTTTACATTTTGGAAAGCTGATTTTAATTCAGAAGCTGTAAAACCTAAGTCACCTTCACAATTTGGAAATCAGTTCGCAGGTGGAACATCAGTACACTTTCCTTTGAAAACCAAATTATTCAGATCACAGGATGTCATCTGCCTGATACCATCTATGGTAATTAAGAAAACAAGGAAATTTGCATCAATCTACATACTACTGATTGGAGTAGATGAGTAGCTGTACATCACTCACACCAGCCAGTAGTGTTTACTAACCAGACTGGGATGATCTAAACAACGGACGACCGTTTCACTCGTTTGAGGCCCCACTAATCAAGTGGTGTATCACGTTTAACTCAGATCAAAGAGCCGAATATGTTCAGACAACTTGAACTGGTTGATATAAGTGGTATACAACTACTCATCTCATTTAGTCTATTGTATATGGTTTTAGGCAGGCTATAAAACCTATTTAATCATGACATGATTTAGTCCCAAACCTTAGGTCAAAACATATCTATAAATGGGTTGATCTTCTGGGTTCTAAGGTCAGCTGTTATTGTTTCGAGTTCACACCCGCGGTAGTGCTTAAGATATGATGAAACAGTCTAATCTTTAGAAATTCTTCAAATAGTTTCATCTATTAATAGTGAAGCCAGATGAAGGTGATTTCAGAAAACAGAGCATCCTATTCAGGATTCGTCAACACGGTGCGCCTGCCTCCTAAGTGAGAGGTGGTGTTCCCACTGAGACTAGCACCCTGCAGTCATCTTTTCAAATGCCTAATTGGGTAAAATGCATATCCTGGATTCACTACCAGTCATCATCAACCGAAATGACGTCATTGTTAATCTCCAGATATCTTCGAAGTGTCTGCAATAGAAGCTGAGATTTCAACAGAGACCGAGCTTGTCGGTCCACTATAATCAGTCAGTCGATGGTAAATGCAAATTCACCTAAAGCAAGTGATGATTAACTTCGTAATAAACCATGGAATCAATATTAAAATAGGCGGTTTTAACACAGGATGATAATGATATTAAAGACAAACGTTAGCTCGCAAATATAGATGATTTTCAGAGTTATCTGGTATCACAAGGAAAGAATACTATTATAGGTTGTTCAGGAAGGCTGTGGGATGGGAGTGATTGGATGAACTTTTCTTGGACACACAGACAGAGCAGCCATCTTTAATCTCCTTTGCTTTGGTTATGCCTAGCGACCGAAGGCGTACACACCTAGAGAACTGAGCCGGCACCTTTTCCTAACCATGTTGGAAAATGCTCAAGAAGACGATAGTGGACACGTATCTTAGAAAGAGATATAGAAATAGTAAGACTAGTGGGAAATTAGAATACTGCAGGATGGGATATTACTGAAAACTATACAAGGTAAAAATAATCGTACCAGTTGAAATAATAACGGATAAATAAACAGATTGATTAAACAGAATTAAAAATGAACAAGGCCAAGGCACAAATGTGGACTATAATAATTTGATGTAGACGGTTTAGGACCATGAGAAGATGAGTGTCTTAACAAACGTTCTCTGCACATAGAGCTTAAGCTCTCCTCTTTCTGTGGCTGAAGCTTCAACAACACAGATGGGTCACATAAGAAACGTTTTCGGAAGGTTATCTTTTGTCTAACAGATAAAAGAAGAGATCGTAAAGATAAGATAACCAATGTCCACCAGCTATTCAAATATTCCGCTATTTATATATCTCCAATTCCACTTCTTTGTAACCTCGCTGAGTAGTGTTTTATTTGCCTAGTAATCTTATTAATTTTACACCTCCAAGATATACACATTCCATGAACTATTTCACAATTTTCACAATGCAATAGATGCCCCAGAGATGACCTAAATTTATTGGCAATGTATGCTTTCCTATGTCAACTTGGAACAGTTAACAGAACTTTTTTTACGAGGCTGTAGTTAGTTCATAAATGTCAGCAGGACTAGCTGTCTGTGTACTATACACATATTATATAAACTTCAGTATATTGAAGACAAACCTACACCTACAGAACAATAAATATATTAACAGACAAATACGCAGGATAGCCAAAATTAACACAGTATGAATCATTTAAGCGCATATCAAATAAAGTGTTAAGGCTTGAGAGAATGAATACAGGCCAAACTAAAAGGCTATATTGAAAGTCAAAAGAAAGATCAACAAAAGCAAAACATGTCGCATATTAAAACATTAATTTTGATCTTCGAAACAGAATTTACCAATATGTGTTCCATGTGAATTCACAAAGGTGGATTAAACATTCTAATTTCTACGGCTTCTAAAAACATTAGGATGCGACCACAACATGTCATAAAGATGGGTTTAAAAGATACCTACTCTATGACTTGTTAAAATAATGCGTTTGGTGATGAGGAGCTGGGTTGCCTATTTCTACCATGAAGTGATTGCCAGGACCGAAATGCACTGCTATTGTAACGGTAGAAGAAAAGAGACTTTGTAACGGAATGTTTATTTGAAATATGATACTTTTATATTGGGAAACTATGTACACCTTACTCGAAAATCGTAATTCGCTGAGATTCTCCATATTGTTCTGCTTCTGCTCTTCGTATTTTCTTTTTGTCTTCTTTTCATGTCTCCCATGCTTCGTCGCAACTCTGGTTCATTTTCTCTCTTCGACGTCAAATCTATCTCTCCGATATTTGACACTTTGTGTTGAAGGTCTCTTTATATACTAGTGGTGAATCTTGTTAGTTAATACACGCCACACTACATATTCACTGTTATTCATGGTCATTTACTTTCATAACTAGTGTCTGATTTCATTCTACCTTTTCTCAGCTTATCAAATTCACATGGTTTGAACTGTAACCTTTTTTTCCCTTCACGTTCCCAGTGGAACATAGGGCTTCAAGATAGAAGGCTTGAATTTTCGGTAGCAGTGTTTGTTTTTACAAGATAGGGTTGCTAGCGTCATGTCTAACCTTCTCTCTAACCAGCTTTATTACTGACTTAGCAAGGTAAAGGAGTGCGTCGGCCAAGGATCGAATCCCGGCTAGCGTCCTAACCTCTATGCCGCCGATGCACGGAACTGTAACCTAGTAACAATTTACTCACTCAGACTTGGTTTTGATAATACCACTTATTCTTTAACTAGTATAGACATCAAAATCGTAGATCCTAATGAGGGTCTTTTCGAAAATAATACTCTTTGTTCACTGATCAATATTCTACTTAATTTTACGTAACATATTCCCATAATTTCCCCTAACCATTTGTTATCCATTGCAGTAACCCTTTTTACCCTTTCATTATTCACCTGTTATTATTAAAAATTAGTTTTTTTTTCTGTACAGTCTTCACAATTCAATTAATTTGTGTTAGTGTCAGTCGATATGTATTTTTAGATATCCAAATCAGAGATTGTCCTGGAATGTCGTCCGACAGGTTGAGTACCCAGTCTAATTAAAGTATATAAAAATGTCTAAAATAACTCAACATTTTTATACAACCAAGATCGAGTTCTCCTGGATGTTTCTTTATGTAATACATAACTCCTTCAGCAGATTTATTCAGATTTCGTTAAAAATCGAAATATATAGTCGTAGGGCAGAAAATTGATAGAAAGCCTGGTGAACTCAGGACATTGTGAAACAGTTAGTCCTTTTTGATAATTTTAAGTAAGGCATTAAAAAGATACATACTGAGCGATGATATCATATCATAGTTTCTTTACAGTCTCTGTGCAGTAACGAAAATTGAAAACCAGGGAGTACTGGACAGCTGTTTCATCGGCAGTACTCACCCACTAGGGTAGGAAGGAACCCAGGACCTTCCAGTTACAAGGCAAGATCGTATACCAATGTCATCATCAGTGGGACATCTATCCTCATACGTGACTGGATGGACCTCATTGGCCACGACTTCTCACTAGAACCCCAGGAAACTCCATCCTGTAGCAAGTTACTAGCGAGCATCAGATTAATTTTCTGTAATTGGTTTGTAAGGGTTGGTTTTGTTTTTACTATGATTCCCAAACCAGGATGAAACAGCTGTCAATACACTTGGCTGGTTTTCAATGGTTCTCTAACTGATATCAATCCGTGATCAACTTGGAAAAACAAAACTAACCCTTACAAACCAACTATAGAAAATAACGAAAATGTTTAACAAGTATTCAGTAATGTAAAATAAATGTACATACTGATAACCAATCATATTTTAGTCGGCCAAGCAGTCCATGTTAGGCGAAGGTTGAATCTAGTGTGTATTTTGTACACAGTTTGGGATGCGTGTAACTAATCCAGAGTGCTTCCATCGCCTTTGAAATAACCTTGAATTAATTGAGAAGCAGTCATTAATATTGATTTTGTCACGTGACATTAATAAATGTTTGATAAATAAATGATGATGGATTTATGTTTGTATTAAGTACATAATATGACGTAATGACCATTTAGGAACGTGCTCTTTTCGACTACACTGGAACATTCTGTTGGCTGTAGCTCTATATATGTCATCGCAACTGCAGGTGAACTTGTAGATACAATATGAAATAGAATCCACAGAATTTTGTCCTTTAGTTATAGGTCAGGGAATCGAAAATATTCGAGATATTAGTGAAAGAGATTCGGTGTAGAATGCACTTTTGATACCTGACCGAAGCCTCTGAGCTATCAGTTGCATGATTTGATCACGTTTGAGTGGTAGTTTAATAAAGATAGCTTTCTTTGGTATGAAAGATGTCTATTCAAGGAACAGTTTCTCTTTACTGTGATATACGACGAAGTTTTCAGGATAACCAGTAGTCGACAAAACTGAATGTATATGCCATAGCTCATCGATTAGTGTCTCGCTCATGCAAATTTTATGGGCCCTTGAAAACAGCATTTCACTGGGGAACGTTTACACATTTTGCAGATGAATAATTATACATATTGACTAAATGTGATTGGTCATGGTATATTCCTGTTGTTTCTTGTCAACCTGCCGCATTCAAACAGTCAGACAACGCCATGTTCTCATTAGATGTGACTTCTCCTATACTTCCGCTTTATATAGAATGCTTTGATATGTATGTACATTTATCTGATGTTTCCTGAAGTCGTTTATAGTTTTTTTATTCAAAGATGGACGCTTTATGCCTACTTAATACTACTCACTTAAACATTCACCATTCTACTGCTTCCTTCTACACAGCAAGCTTCACATTTTATATCGTACAAACAAAACTGTTGCGTGGTATCAAACAGAAAATAATTTTTAATTTAAGGTGTACTGGACAGCAGTTTTGGACTGTTCATCAGTGAGCATTCTTGGCCTTTTTCTGTTACTGATTCGTGACGAAATCTACAGTGAAGTAATTTGTCAACTTGTTGCAAGTATGCTTACCCAATTAGATGTGGAAAATTTATCAAACCAAAAAATAAATTCATATTGTTTAGCTGTAGTATTTAGTTCAACACCAGTATTCGAAATTTATTATTAAAACATAAATCTTGTTTAATTTCTTCCTTTAAAGAGAATCTTTATATTGGTCATCCAAGAAATAATTGTCTAGATCAGTTGTTGTGTATTGACCAACCGAGGAAATCAAAGCCAACAAAACAGAAAACAAGACTGAATTATCTTCAAAGTATGAGTCCACCGGAAACACCTAAACTACCATCAGTTAAACAATCGGCCATAACTGCAAAAACTAATAGCAGCAATACACAACAGTATGCATCACACGATGTCCTGCCTATGATGACTATGCTACACAATAAACCTTCACCTTTAGTTTATCATACTTCAAATCTATCCCACCATCACCTGTTATATATCCTTCATCACAAACACAGTATACAAAAGATCCGTACACACAAAATCAATATTATCCTAAGAATCCATTTCATACACCAACTGTTAACCATAAAGCACCATCATTGGAATTCATCTATGATGAAGTTCATAATTCTGTGTATACAACTTTGAATAGTCAAACAAATGACCAAGAGAAAATTAAGCAAAATACGGTAAAACAAAAAAACTTTTGGTTCTGACGGTTTTTAATCATTTAGATCTATGAGTAATGAATATTAGGATAGTTAAGTTCGTCTCGTAGTTAGTAATCAATAAGCAATGGCCGGCTGAATAGTTACTTGCTCATCTCTAAATGTAAATGTTCTGGATTCGATTTCTGGTGCTGTGATAGATATACTGTTGAAGAGTCCCACGAGGGGAATAAAAGAGATACATAGTACTCTTTATTCATCGGTCACCTAAGTGTTGTATGCTTATGACAAAATCTATGTTGAAATTAATCAGATACCTATGACTCAAAAATTCAGCCACTGCTCATCAGTGACTGAATGAGAGATGGACTTTATGAATTTCTAATTCGAAGCATTACCAATAAGATCCATCAATTCAGGTATGAGGACACTCGATGACAACGATGCTGTGTCATGAATCCATAGAAGTTAGATTTCATAGGCTATTGGTTTTGGAACTAGTTGTTGGATGACAAACGTGTTCTTTACCCAGCAGAAAAGTTCTATGTTTTGTCTCTGGTCGGATCATGGGTGAGTGCTTCTGAAGAGTACCGAAGTGGATGAAAACAAATTTACAGCGCTCCATGGGTTTCAGAACTTCTCTAAGTTATGTTAGTTTGTGACAAAACCTACACTGAAATCAGTCAAATCCCTAGAATCCAACACTTGTGAAAAAGTTCATTCTTAAAATGAAAGAAGTTATAAAGTGAACAATTAAGTACTAGATCCAGCTAAAGTAAATTCCACGTGGTACTTACAGTAACTAATTCGTCAACGTTATATAATGACTTCGAGGTAGTTAGGAATCAGAAGTCAATGAATCACGACTCATTGGCTGCATCACAAGATACTTTACAAAATCCCGGTTCCAGGTTCGATTTATCAAAGACATTCAGTACCTACCGATATTGTTCAAAACTGTGATGAAACAGTTACCTATCACAGCTGGTTTTCAAAGACTCTCAGTTCACAGGGAAATCTATCTTTAAAACTTAAATAAACTGTCGCTGTCTTTGTCCATAATTTCCGCTAGTGATATTAGAGAAAACGGGAGGTTGATAATCTTAAGGAGTTGTGTTTTTACTAAAATCCATAAACTGATTTCGAACACTCAGGTCAAACACATACTTGTTATATGAATTTACATGAAGGATGAAAGAGTTAAATAATTCACTTAGAAGGCGTAATCGAAGATTGGGATAACTTAGAAAGTTCATAAAGTACATAACCTGTTTTTAATAATACACTTTGTTATGAGAAAAAGTTTAATATATTGACCAGTTTCGTATAAGAATAAAGCAATTCCAAAATCAGGTAGTCATTAAGTTTCAAACTGAATCAGCCTTGTGACTTACACTGTGTGCATCCCTTAAATTAACTAGGTTTAAACTGGTCTTTAAAGAAATGGGTCTATTGAAAACTGTAATTTACTTCTATGTGTTATTTAAGCTCTAATGTTAGAGTAATGTTTTTTCTTCCATGTCTATTGGTCATTCGATTTCAGTAAAGTGTTGTAAAATGAATACAATTTCACACTTTTTAATATTTCACAGAAACAGAATGACAACTCAGTTGGGACAGTTTTTAATGGGAGTCATTGGCTTGTGGATCCCTCCGGTCAAATTTACGTTCCATACGCACAAATTACACCGAAACCTCGAAGAGTCTTATTAAGCAATGTTGAATACTCTACACTGAGGAAAAGTGATGTGACAACAAACCCTTTACTATTGAATCCTACATTTGAAACATTGAAAGAAAGAAATCATACCTTTGGCCATCAAACTATTTCAGATACTCGTCACCTGCCTTTAATTCCAATACAAACGCAAAATGTTAATTATCATATTATTAATGGCAACATGTCGCCTATTCCTAATTTCTCTTCTGTTCAAAGTAATACGCTTTCGATTAGTCAACATAATCTTATTCAGAAGACACCAGTGGAAATTTCTGAATTGCGTGATGACAAAACAATACTGAAGAAAGTGTATGTTATTCAAATGAGATATTTATAAGAGATGGACTAATGTTTTTTTTGAGTAATTTTGGTCACTCACCAACAGCATTTAGGAAATCACTGGAAACCAAAAGATCACAACTGGTGATACCATAAAAGTACACATTGATGACATTTTAGTTTCAAGAACGCACCCGTTGTGTACTTCTTGATTTTAAGGATTTACTGGCTTATGTCCATTTACCACGAAATTTTTAGTGAAAAATGTACACATAGTGGCAATATTTACTTAAAATGCATCGATTAATACCTTGAGAATTCATTGTTGGAAAAATGTGCTATTTATTTCTGCCTGGTTCTGCAGGTAAAACTTTCCTTTAAGATATCAAAATATCTTCTTGGATGAAAAAGAAATGTTATGTCATGTTTTTTTACGTGAGATTACTACTAAGTAATGAAGTCCAGTTGATAGCTTTTATGTCATTTTATATTTTTTGCTCAACCTACAGTTTTATTTATATAAGATGCTGATCAATAGAGTCATCTACCGTTTTCCTAAGTCTTTAGGGCGAACAGGCAAACATGCTGGTCACGGCAGCAAGCCACAGTGCGTTAGAATTCATAAATATGTACTTACTAGGATTTTTAATCTACAAAGAAATAGCTACCCAGTAAACTTAGTAATGAAAACTGCTTAAGAGCCCATTCAATTTGAACCAAGATTTATCTTAATATCAGTAAAACTAATTAGGAATTTCATTCGGTTTCACTAAGTCTTGTTGCAACAATAATATACAGTACAGTAACAGGTTGTAGACTTTTATCAATAGCCACCTTCGCTCCATATTGAAGATCAAATGGCTAGAGAGAATTTTCAACAGGAAACTATGAAGACAACTCAACCGAGCACCTGTTGCTCAGCGAATATGTGGGATAAAATGAGATAGATTGAGCACACACTGAGGAGACCGTTGAATGACGTCGCGCACCAAGCCGTAGCTTGATTGGAGCCCGAATGGGAAACGGTGGATGAGGTGTTTGAGGGTGATATGGAGCAGACTGTGCGAGGAGGAGATAATGGACTATGAGGAGTCCTAGAGGTAGCTAAAGAGGACCACAGAAAATCGGAAAAACAAGGGGGACGTGCTGTTCAAGCCATATGTTTCGCTAGGAACGCAAGGGAACAATAGTACTAATACAGTACAGGGCCACAGTTATAATGTTGAAGTGGGTGATACTCTCAACTAATAAATGAGGAGAAGTAATATACCTGTCAAATAATTTTAGATGTTCTCTAGTTAGCCAGTTCCATTCAATGCTTAGCTTACTGATCTGCATCTTAATGAGACGTCTTACCGGAATCTAATGTCCCACATGCTTCGGTGATTGATATGAATGTGGAGCTTTCAAACTTCGCTAAGCTATCGCCACCGAAATCCTTATGGTTTTTCAACACAATATCTCTCGTTTATTTGTGTAATGATGAGTAGTTTCCCAGTGTCTAAAGTGTTAAATACAGCTTAAAATAGTTAATTATCTCGATAAAGTAAGAAGGATAAATTTTGCCGCTTAAAAGGGTATAATTCACCCACAGAAATCCAGTACTTCCATTATAGATAAAACTTTATTTGGGTAAAATCACACAATGTTATGCAGTAATATTTAATGATGATGTTTCGAGCACAATTTATCCATAATGGAATTATAATCTACTACAGTGGCCAAGTTTTATCCTTATATTGATAAATCCAGCACTTGTAATTTGTATAACTTCTTTCCATTATTTTCCAGACTAATGAACAGTCAACTACTAATCAGTCAGTGATGAAGAGTGTACAGTTTTCAAACAGGCAAAGTACTTTTGACAATTTTGAAACACAAGATGATCAGTTAATGAATAAAATAACCAATCATAATCATCAAAGTGGCATAAAAAATTCTGACCAAGAAATAAATAATACCTTAGATTCAACTATGCCAAAATATTCAGTTAAACTACTTGCACGTAAAACAGGTCAACCGAAAATAGACAATACATTGAATAATCACAACGGGAGTACAGCTGAGAATTATACCTTGTCTGGAGCTCATAAGATAGCTGATCTAGAAGACTGGGCTATGATTGATCAAGATTAGTCTAAAAAATCAAATTTATTGAAGAGTGTGACTTGTTCTGCTGTTCTATTTTCTCTCTTCTTTCCTTACTTAGAAATTACTCAAAACTGTGTCTTACAGCTTACAACAAAATCGTATTACTGAATTATTAAATCATGTTTATCAAATAGTGCCCATTACTGTCTTTTCACCAGCCTTATTCAAATAGTACTGTAGTCATCTGCATTTGTGTCCCAAGTTAGATTATGAATTTTTTATGAGCTAACATCATTCAAGCATGACTTATAGGCGTATGTGCTGTTTTAATGTAAACAGTATAAATAACGACTCGAGTTAAGTGTTAAGTGGCTGACTGAAGTGAATTGTTTCGGTAGTGCGGAAATCTAACGACTGTTCACAAAATTTGAATACATGAAACGATGATCTATTTACCATCTGTTATGTAGTCGAACAAAAACCACACAAAGGTCAGCAATGAACTGAATGGTTTTCACCACAGCATGTGTGTTTATATTTCCACACTGTTTGGCAACAGTATGAAGATAAACATAATTTTACAGACTAATCTTTTTTATAGCCATCACTATTTTAAGTGTGAAACTCATAGGGATTTCACTGATTTAAAGGTCGATTTTGCCAAATTTGTGCATAAATGCGATTATACAGCTAAAGAAAACGAATTCGACAAAAACAGGCTGTGCTGCTAAACTACCTGTTTTGTTCTTTACAAGTTAAAAGTTATCAAATCATTTTGCAGGACAGAGTAGACTCTCATCAATAAAAGTAATTATTTAAATAATTAGGTTAACCCCAAAGAAGAGAACAAGGCTTTGTTCTATGCAGTTAATTACTTACACTATTTGACTATAGATATTCCTTCCAAGACAGTTTAGAGGTAAATTCTTTGAAATATGTAAGAAAACCTGCTTTTAGTTCTCTTCAAACACACACACACACGTACCTCTACCGACCAGAAAATCCATGAAATTCAAGTGAAACTAGGTTGACATCACGTTTTAGTTTGAGAATTCTAACATTGTTGGTCAATGAACACGTAGGGGATTATCAGATTGTGAAGAAGGTATGTTACTAATGTTCCTTTTGGTTAAGATTAACTATTTCATGCCTTCAAATTCATTCCAATTCTGACACCCAGTCTCATTGAAGTCAACTGTCATCACTTCACGTCCCAACTATATGACTGGTAATTCCATTTAGATAAGTTGATTTGATATAAGTAATGCATATTTGATTTACATAAATGTAAATATTTGGTGTGCGTTGGTGGTTTAGTGCTAGAACTCTCGCCAAGTATCTATATCGTCCAAGGATCGAACTCCGTTCGACTCACTCCTAAACCTCATTTAGCCAGTAGTCAGGTTGGTATATAGGGAAGGTTGGATATGATGCTAGCAATCCCATCCTGTAAAAATAAGCTTTACTGCTACCAAAATTTCAAAAGTCTAGCTTGAAGCCCTATGTTCCACTGGGAACGTAAACGAATAAAATAAATAAAAATTTGGTACTAATGACTGGCTGAAAGTTCAAGCTGAGGCGAATCAAAATACAATAAAATATTGGCGATTAGTTCAGGTTGTTTAGAATGGATTATCCCTTCAATAAGTTTCGTTATTGTTATTAAAAGACAGTGACTATCTGAAAAATGTCGTGTATTGGAGCAATACATTTTTAACAGTTTGAGTGGTTTTATAATATTGCCGAACAACGATATTTATTGTAACGTTACCATGTTCACCTAATGATGTAAGTAACATATTATTTAGATACTAGACATTAAATTATGAATTAGTAAAATTGTTGTGAGGTATTTATTTGAACGACTTCAGAGTTCCTCCTACTCTGTGACAATAAACGTTGCTGCATAGTCATATTTAGGCTTCAGAGTTACACATATAGAGTTGCATTTTCATGATTTTCGTGCGGCCTGTTGCATTGGGAATTCTTCGTTTTTCACTTGTGTCCGTGCGGTGCTTACTCAGACAGGGGGTATTAAGGTTATGTCACATCGTCGCCTAACAATTCGACAAAATCTCAGTTTGTATGACAACTAAAAAAATGGCAGAAGGATTAAAATGGAGGAAATAATCGAGGACTTAGGTCTAACAATAAATTGATTCTGCACACAAAGGGAAGGATTAGTTTTCCAAATGGATATTGCCTCAGGATATTTCGTCATAAGCCCAAAAAAAGTTTGCACAGAATTTTAAGGTCTGTTTTAGCATTAGTCTTATGATTCATGCCAACAATATGCCTTGAAGCTGGTTGCCTGCCATCTCGGTTGATTGATGTGTAGCAGCTTAATTGTTTTTCAAGTCATTCAGGTACATGTTCCTCCACCCTCAACTGCAAAGCGTGACTACTCTTCTCCATATATTTGGTCATGGATACATCTCAGTTGGTATGCGATTTGGAATGTTCAGTGGCAAGTGCAAGATGACGTAGAACTGGTATACCTCACCTCTTAGTTTATAAAATGTTGGTAGTAGAGTAGTTGAATGTGTTGACTACTTCACTTATTTAACTGATTCTATCGACCTTAACGATAACCTGGTTGCTAATGAAATATCAGCATGGATGCATAAGGATCGTTTGGTATTTACTGACTTGCATCATCTCTTGCACAGATGTAGTATCTGACTATTCAGCAATGGACGCGTGTCCTCTACACCCATTATCTTTCTCCTGTTTTATGTTAATGAAGGCTGAAATGATAAGTAGTGCCTACGTTCAGTCGCCAGTTTTACAAAACGCGATGAAGTTAAGCTTATAGTGTTAGAGAAGGAGGAAAAGTCAGTCGATGGCCTTGGGAAGCTTTATTGATTGAAATGATTAAGATATGTGTCACGCATACAGAAACACCTTTTTCCTTAATAAGCATTGTTGGTTGATATAAGATTCAGTTGGGAAACATGACACCAATCTACGGAATTTTCGACTGTTCGTTTGAACCGAGTAGGGAGATATAAACTATGGAGCTGAAGTCCTCGTGTTGCCAAGAATTTCTACACATTAATTCAACATGTAGTAGTAAGGATAATAAATTAATTAGCTTATAGTAATCCTCGTAGTATATTTTCCTGCGAAAATACTACTTTTCATTGAATATGTTAGTGAAAGAAGCTAATACCACCTCTTCAGCTAAAGGCTTTCACTTATCAGTCACTTAAAAGATGAATTTCATATCCCTCTATTCGACCCTAGTTTATCCATTTAATGTGGTCATCTTGGAGACCATCTGTCTCTAGATGAAGAAAAAGGTGAGACACGTCAATACAAAGACTGTTTTTCAGGCTAAAAAAATACTCATCTTCTGTAATTCTTTCCTTTAGGATAAGATAATAGGAATAGATTACAATCTTCGTGTAAGTTGCTGTTGTAAGAACTAGTTACCCAATTGTTACCTACCACTTAAATACGTTTTACTGTATTTGTTCCTCTTTTGAAGCAAAGGAAAGATGTCTGAATAATGCATTCACATTATCTGTCAGTCGATAAGCTATTCTTCCTCATGCTTTTGACTCTTCGCTGAACTTTTTTGTTCTTATATTCACGTCAGGATGGGTGTTTTCCGTGAATTAAAAACAAACGTTTTCTTTTGAAATGCACTGCAACTGAAGTTGGGAATTTTAAACTAAGACGTAATACCTGTCTACTCTTTTTCATGTACTTTACTAGTCGAATGTTAAACATTAAGTCAAGATTAACAGAAAAAGGCATTTGCATAGCATACAAGCTTGAGTGAGTGAAGTCTGCATTTACCACTTACCCAGTCGTTACTGCTATCAAAACAAATCAATGGTGTTTACTGACACAGGCGTAAGTATTACATAATATTCATTGAGAAGGAGCTAAACGTTGTTTGACACACTAAGTAAAACGACATCTAAATTACGTAAACTGAAATATACAGGTCAGTCATTCAAAAATAGGGTTAAATTTCTCATTACATGATTTGCCTGCAGAAGTGGATACTAGTTAATGATTTATATGAATGGCTGCAAACAATACTTACTATCCAGTAACGTACAGTTGTCAAACTCAAGTGTCTACAAATACAGCAGAAACACTTAACTAGTTCAAAGTCCAGTTCACCAGTAATGTATCTGACTTATTCCACTGAATCGACCGTGTAAGCAGTTTAAAACTACTTATATCATTCAGTAGTGTATTGAAAAGCGTTAATTCTTGGCATCTCTACTCCATCATAAAGTCCAGAAGGCCATACATAGTCTAATTATTTTTTGCATTCAGAAATTATCAAATGCGATTTGTCTTAGGACTGTTTATCCCCTAAACTGTTTACCTGATTCATATAACTTCTGAAGTAGAATAATAAGAATTATTCATAAACTAACAAATTTGCATATGACCTTGACTTGGATTGCTACTATAGTACAAAAAAGCAAACCCCTGATATAGTGAGAAAACCAGCGTACAACCGATATGTGTATATTCAGCCTTACAAGTAACACAAAAATACTGAACAGAATTCACAAACGCCCACACACACACAAACACACACTGCGGGCTTATAAAATAAAGGAAATAAGTCATTAAGAAATGTTTTTAGAAGTAAGCTGCCCCTTTGATCAGTAGGAAAATAGAATCATTCGGGGAAAAATAAGAAACTCTGATGTACATTTTTATAGACAAAAATAAGAAAAGAAAATTCAGGAGGAAGTTTGCTACATCCGAACAGGAAACCGAAATGGTTACCATGATTGAAATAGTAAACTACATTATTATTATTATTATATTATTGTATCCTTTAGTTCCTAGAGGAACATAGGGCTTCAGCTGCGCACCTCCATTGACTTCGGTTTTCTGACAACTTTTTCACCCTGCTCCAGGTCTGCCCACATGCTTTCATCTCCTCTTCACATGACCTCCTCCAAGTCACCCTTGGACGACCAACTCGCCGCCTCCCTTTCGGGTTCCACTCGAGGGCTTGTCTAGTGATGTCACTTGATGGTTTCCTCAGCGTATGGCCAATCCATCTC